CGCACGCTTCCTGGCGTTGCCGGAAGAAGCGGCGGCCGTGGTGGAGGCTTTTAATTGCCGCAAGTGGCGTCGGCCGTCGGGCTCCAAGGCCAGGCGCTCTGGCCGCTGCCGTGCACGGAACCCGACGGAGTCGGCTAGTTTCTTCAAGGAACTTCGTTTTGAATCGTCCTTTGAAGATGTACCACAGCTTAGTGTTGATGTAAAGCCTTAACGCCAACTGTTGCCACGGAAGCGTAGAGATTCGTGTTCGTATGCACTATCATGAAAGCATATTGGTATTAAGTGATTTGCCACTTTCTCGATGCGTAGAAGGTGGCAGGATACTTATCTAAAGTAAGCAGAAACAGAAGTGGAAGAAGTCAAATTATTAATATTCTGAGACGTTTTGAATTGTTTCTTGTGTACGTGTATCAGTCGAGAAACTTGGATAAGTTAAACTACGCGGATTGTGGAGCCGCTACGGAATTATAACGTGTTGTTTTGAAAATCTCAGGGGCTCTGACACATCCACTTGGAAAGCTTCAATGGCGCCCAGCGTAAACACGTCGGCAAATGTGGCCGGTGTTAGATTCAAGGAATGGGACCATGAGAACCATGCGTCTCCAATGTCAACACTCTACTTTTACTCAATTTTTCATATTGATTACATCACATTTAAGGGAATGCTTCCATCTTCAATGTGCATTTTTAATTTCATGCTAACAATTTCATGCTAGAGGAAAAGCGCGACATATCGAAACTTTTCCTCCTTATTACCCAACAACTAGTGTAAGGCATGAAATAAAGATCCAAAATTGAGCGATAAATAGCATTCAGAAAAAATATCTGCCTTAAATACATGTGTTGGACAGATTTTTAAAAAATGTAAACTTTTGAAATTTTTACAATTTTGGAGGTTTTAATGATAATCGGAATTATACTTTTTTTTAAATGCACTTACTCTATTCAAGAGAAAAAGGAAAATATTACAACCATTTTCAGACAATTTTGTAAATGTTTGAGGGTTTCTCGTTTGAGTACCCCCCAAAATTAAATGTATTTATGCACTGTGGAACAGCACAAGTAAATCTTACTCCTGTACATTTACAAAGCTTGAGATCAAAAAGTAATTAGAGTTATACGAGATCTAGTTCCATCAATAGTAACCATTTTTTGGAACAGCCCTAATAGACCTTAATCCTGACGCGTAAGTAGTTGAAAAGAACTTTCAATACTGATTTTATGACCGAAAATTCAAGGTCGTTGAGATGATTCCTATTTTGTAAAAGGAGGAAAAGTAATAATTATTTTAAAAACATGTAGAGATGATGGTCGTAACTGAAATTGCCCCCTCCCTGAATTCTTCTTCTTCTAAAGCTCTACGACTTTCAAATGAACGTCTTGGCCTGCTCAAATATCCTTTTCTATTTTTTACTAATCGAGTGCTCGATGCAATTTTCGATTTTCATTCTCCTGATGTCTTTGACAACATCATCTTGCCGTCTATTTTTAGGCCTTCCTCTTCTCTTGGTGCTCACTGGATTCCAGCAAAAGATCTTGTTCAGTATTCTGTCATACGACATCCTATTAAGATGACCAAGCCAACTTAATATCATGGCTTGGATAAAATTTAATGTTTTTGTATAATGTCCAGTTTGGAATTGTTCCTAATCCGCCAATCTCCATTGGGCATTTTAATTGGTCCAAATATCCTTCTCGAAATCCGTCTTTCACAAACCGCAAGACGCTGCGTATCCTTGTCTTTTATACGTTTCCTGGCATATGTTACAAATGGTCTAATCACTCTGTAAAGTATTAGTTTTGCGCCCTTTGGTAACATTTTACTTTTAAATGGCTGCAAATGTAGAAAATATGCTGTGTTTCCAATTGAATTACTTTACGGATTAGGACCTAAGAGTGGGGTGTGCGTGCGTCCAGGTACGTGCCATGGAACCTGCACAACCCAGCTCCGGGAGTGTACGACTTCGGCGACGGCGGCACCGCGTGGTCGCCCTTCCTGGACATCGTGGGCTTCCTCCGCGCGGCGCAGGAGGAGGACCTGGTGGCGCTGGTGCGGCCGGGGCCGTACATCTGCGCCGAGTGGGAGTTCGGCGGCCTGCCCTCTTGGCTGCTGCGCGACCCCAACATGCGCGTGCGCACATCCTACGAGCCCTACAAGGTACGCCACGCCACGCCACGTGACATGCGTCACGTCACGTCTGATGTGACGCGACATAAAGTGAAGTAACGCGTCATGTAATGTGAAGCATCGCGATGCGACGTGGCGTAACGACTCCAGGGGGATTTTCTCTAAGAAGGGTCAAAATTCTAGGTGAGGGGATCGAAAAATTGACCAGTAAAAGAAGATCTTGACTTAACGCAACAAACCAAGACCATTTCGCTTTTGCAACACTTTCAATAAATCACTTTCCACATATCGTTGATTTGAACATTTCAAAGAATGGCAATCATAAAAGAGCAGGCAAAAACAATTCTGTTCAGCAGGGACTTAATATTCTGAAGGGAGAAATATATCCTGCGCGCGCCTCCCGCGGGAGGCGGACCCTCCCACACCCTACGCACTTCTGCTCTGCCTAGTTCTTAAACGCGATGAGATCCTTGCGTGATGCACTTCATCGTTCTAAATAAAATAATATTTGAATACGATGTAAACGTCAATATGACGGTGTTGAGTGTTAAGTTTGCGACGCGTACATTCACTTAGTGCTGCTATTGATTTTTTTACCCGAGTGCGTGAGCGAAAGGGAGTATTATTAAGGAGAGATTGTATCAATGTGGAACTGTTCTTTCCATTCTAGCTCCTAGAACCTCAGTTTGCACGGTTCGCTAGTTTTCCTGGCATGTTCCCCCAGCTGGGCATCAGTGCGCTCCCCATTGGACTTCCGTTATGTGTGTGTGTGTGTGTGTGTGTGAGAGAGAGAGAGAGAGAGAGAGAGAGAGAGAGAGAGAGAGTGAGTGAGAGAGGGAGGGAGGGAGAGAAAAGGGAGATATAAGACAAGTAAAAGGAAGGAAGAATAGAACGCGCGTGGTCTGTGTGTAACTTGTAAGGTACTCCTCAGGCACTCACATCTTGTTGGTAAGAGAACCCGTTATGGACAGAATTCTTCTCCAGACAGGAAGATTCGGTAGAAGACCAGACAGAGGTCGATTCCTACATTAGAAGTATACGCAGTGTCAAAAATCCCCCAACTTCGGGCCTCTAACTCTACGCCCTCGCAGTCAGAGTTGCTGCAGATACATCAGAAATGCTGGCTAACAACTAAATCAGTCGATCATAGTTACGTGGTTTCTAACGTACGGTACACCCGTACATGTCACTGCATACGATAATTCTTTCGGGCAATCGTTTTCCGATATAAATCATAACATTTAAGCTCGCGAATCCTTGCTCCTCTTTAATATTCGCGATTAAAAAGATGACCACAAAAATACTTACATATAAGCATATTTATTACCTTTGGCTCAATGGAAAATGCTGGCAGTGACACAGTATTTCCAAAAGATGACTAATTTTAAATGGTGTGTTCTAAAATTAACTGCAAGAATTGTTAATGTGATATAAACTAATGTTGTGCACGACAAAGTCGTAACTTTTAGAACTTTTAGAACACACCCTATATTAGAGGTCTAAAAACTAACATTACTTCCCAAAGTAGTCTAAATTTGAATGAATTGACAAATGATTAGTAAAATAATAATGTATAAAGTAAAAACTAAAAAAATCAAACTGAACGTCAACATCGTTGAGGTCGTTTTTTTTTTAAATTTCGTCGTTATCTGAAAACTCGCCCAAAACCGCACATCTTGCTGCATTTCCGCTCATCGGGCGGTTTTCCAAGAAGTCAATTTTTGCCCCGCACGAGAGAGAGGGAGAGAGAAGGCCGTTTTCAGGCCCCCAAAGCGCGATTCCGCCCGCTGCGCTGTCTGAGGGACGGGCCCCGCCCGCGTGTGCGCAGGAAGCGGTGCGCGCCTACTTCGAGCGGCTACTGCCGCTGCTGGCGCCGCTGCACTTCACGCGCGGAGGCCCCGTGGTGGGGCTGCAGATCGAGAACGAGTACGGCTCGCTGGGCGTGGACGACAAGCCCTACCTGGAGTTCATCAAGGGGCTGATGCAGAGCGCCGACCTGCCGGGGCTCTTTTTCACCTCCGACTCGCCTCTGGCGTCCGGCGACCGAGGCGCGCTTCCCGGCGGTGAGTGCTCCCCTCGCGACAGAGGCTTCTCGCGGCGCACCACAGTCCACGGGGTTACCCTAGGCGTGCCCAAATAGCTGGATTCAGAGCCCGGAAATGGCTTGATGCATCATCAGGGCCATTTTCTCCTCTCTCTCTCCCTTCTCCTTTCGCATCTTTCTCTCTCTCGCCGCTTCCCCTCACGTTTCTCTTCCATCTCCTTTCTCATCTTTTCTCTCTCCGGGCGACCCGCTGAACCCCACTTTTGAAATCTGGTCCTGTGGAAATTAACCTCGAGTTTTGCAATGTGTGGCCCCGGTGACAATCCACATGCCCGAGGCGTCCCTAGGGACTGTTGGTGTACACAGTTTACCGTATGTTGACGCTGCAATTGCTCAGACTGTTTCATAACACACCTACCGTTGCAGATTTTCACATTCGTGCCTTATATGTAGAGGCGGATTTCTATGACAAGTCAAATTATTATATGCAAATGCATATTTAGTTTTCTTTTAGTTTGGTGGCATATTTTAAACAAATATCATTATAACGAAAAATTATGGTAATTTTCAGTGGAGTTTGTTTTAAAACTCATAAGAGCTCTCGAAATAGGGATATTGTTTACACGAACGTTCACTTCGATTTTTCTAAAGTGGCCTGTCAAGGTCACGCACGAGAGGCAGAGAGATGGCAGACTCCAATAGGGCGCTGCAGCGTCACTATGTGTACTTACAATCGAATTACAGAACTGTTTAACAATAGCTCGCGCCTGTGCATAGTCATTCAGCTGATTTCAATCAGTGTGTTTTAAACGAAAGTCTCAGTTAGTGAGAAGTTACTACGTGTTTTTCGCGAGATTTGTGAAAGTATATTCAGTATCGATGGAGTGATATTGTTGTGTAAATGAGGGAAAAGTTACTGCCGAAATACGCTTCACCGGACTTCAACACTCTTACACTGCGAAACGTAAGAAATGTGAGACTAGACGTTCAGCTCTCAAAAATAGGCAACTTCGGGTATTGGAAAACATGACATCAAGTTCACAATTTTCGAAAGATCTCTGAACAATGATGATTTCGGCTAATATTCCGTTTAAGAAACTTAACCGAAGTTTGACAGTTTCTTGAAAAATATGCATATCTTGTTCCCAAAGAATCTACTCTCAGGAAGGACTATTGACCCCTATGAAAAGATGTTGGATAAAATAAGACGTCGCGTGGGGCACAGTAAGATACGGTGTTTATTAGACGAGACTACAGATTATATGTCAAATATGTAGCAAATGTTATTGTTGGCAGGAGGAAAAAACCCGGTCTCAATGATCTAAATTCTAATTGTTTTGCTCTGCCCCTTCAGTGCTGCAAACCGCCAACTTCCAAGTGGACCCGGAGAAGCAACTGAATGCTCTGGAGCGCCTGCAACCGGGCAAGCCCGCCATGGTGATGGAGTACTGGACAGGCTGGTTCGACCACTGGACCGAGGAACATCACACCACCACCCTTGAGGCATTCTCCGACGTGTTGCGGCGCATCCTCGAGTACCCGTCGGGCGTCAACTTCTACATGTTCCACGGGGGCACCAACTGGGGCTTCATGAACGGCGCCAACTCAGACACTTCATTCCCCACCTACCAGCCGGACATCACCAGTTATGGTGAGTCGCTTCACTCCCGCTTTCAAGTGGTCGGATACGACCGTCACACGGTCGGGCGGTTCTGTATAAGAAGTGATTACTTAAAACACCTCTTTTACAAACGTGATTTCATGCCGCAATTATCTAACAGTAATAACGCTGTCATAAGAGTTATGATCAATCACAAAATATATATTTAGTTCGCTCTTGGAACCAAAAGTAAATATTTGATCGAGAAACTATAAATGACTTAACTAATCAGCTGTATTACACAGTTCGTTGTTTTTTCACGACTGTCCTCGATTACTCTTCCTGGTGGGTGTTGTCTTGCTCAGTATTTTGGCTTCAGCATTCTCCATGAACCTACCACGAAGGATTTCAATGATTTTATTGCTTACAGTCACATTGTTCCCTTCCCTAGCTCGTTTGTACTGTATGCGAATGTAAGCAGAGATCCCATAATATCGGGAATAACTACATCATGATTGATGATCCAGGATATATCATCCACAAAGTTTTTGTATATATATTTCAAAATATAAATAATTTACCAAATGCATTTTTCGGGAATCTTATCCGATCTTTAGAGGCACCAACTAACATGGATTAAAAACGTGGTTACTTAACTCGGCGCAAGCGTGTATAGTGCTGTGTCTAACCACAATTTTTTAACATCTTGGTGGTTGATATCTCCTCCATTCTTAATAATTGTGGAATCCCACAATATATCTGCTGCCACCACAAAACTACTTTGAAACATGTCACGAAACCCAAGTGCGTTCGTGGAAGCGATCATACAAACCCCAATAGTGGAGAAAATGTTAAGGAATTTATAAATTTCATACTGAACATGTACATTAAATGCCTCTTCTGATTTTTTCCAATACGAAATAACATTGAAATGACTTGTAATGCACTATTGTCATGAGACAAAGTAAACATTGTTTCGTTTGGCTGCATTGTTCTGGAACACGAGTACAGAGGTGGTGGTGGTGGTGCGTGTGCCCGCAGACTACGACGCGCCGCTGACGGAGTGGGGCAACTACACGCCCAAGTACGAGGCGGTGAAGCGCCTGCTGGCGCAGCACGCGGCCGTCCAGCTGCGCACGCCGTCCGCCCCCGCGGCGCCCGCGCGCGGCCTGCCCGCCGGCGCCGCCGCGCCGCTCGCCGCCCGCCTGCCGCTGGGCGCGCTGGCGGCGGCCGTGCCGACCGCGCTGCGCGCCTCCGCCGCCCAGCCCCTGCCCATGGAGCTGCTGCCGGTGAACGGCGGCGCGGGCCAGAGCTACGGCTTCCTGCTGTACCGACGCGCTGCCGGCGGCGAGCCGGTGCCCGACGGCGCCACGCTCACCGTGCGCGGCCGCGTGCGCGACCTGGCTGTGGTGCTGCTGGACGGCCGACGCGTCTCCGCGCCGCTCACCTCCCTGCAGGACCTGCGCGGCTTCGGCTACTGGGAGAAGGAGTGAGTAGCAGGCCTCTCTCCTCTTGCCTCACAGGGAGGTCCTCGGCTTCCAGTCCCGACACTAGCTGCATAGCTGGGGCGAATTCAGCCGCTGTCTGGACGAGATTTCTAGCGGACGGCGGCTCTGGAAGGCAACGGAAGTTTTGCGTGGCTTCGCCCATTAGAACCAGGCGAATACCGGAAAAGTATCTTACGAAACGAGTTACGGACCGCTCGCTAGCTTTTCTTCCCCTTCCTTACACAACCTTTCACTCACATACTCTACATTACCACACATGTGGGGAGACCAGCCGGGCGCCTAGAGCATGTCACGGCTGGGGCAGTGCCCTGGTGGACGTTACCCGGATGTGGAAAAATCCCAGCAAAGACGATGTAGGTCGACACCGGATCTCAGTGGACAGAACAGCGGAAGAAGATGATCGCCATCTCCCACGATAATACACGCCCTTCACGTCCAAGACTAATGACTTTGGCAATTAGATCGCCCGGAATCACCATCAGTCAATCCATTATTTTCATACCCAATCTCTGCCTCATTTCTTTCATTAATTCCGGTTCTTTATTCCATTTCTGTTCTTTATTCCGTATCTCCCGGTGACAAACAGGTTTGATGAACTGGGCCACCACTGAATTTAGGATTAAAATATACTCTATTAAAAATAATTTAGATAATTTGGAACTACAACAGAATCATTTCCATTTATCGTACAAAGATGTCAGGAAATGGCATTTATTCTCACTTCGGTTTTCTTTAACATCCAAAGACAAATTTATGCTCGATGTTCAATGACGTGTAAAGTCTCGCAATACGGACGACGCTTAAAAGGCATCTCTAATAAACACTTCATAATGCACTCATTGTCGACAGATACACTTCCCGAAGTTTGTGGAGACATTTGTTCACAATAATATAACAAAATTTACAATAGTATATATTGTGATTCTGTCTGTCTGTCTGTGCTTGATGCGACAGCCTGCGACCGGGCCAGAGTCTACCAGGAGCGTCCCGGGCTCGCGGCCATAGGTTTAAGAGGTACGTGTGGTTAGTACAAAAACAGCCCTAGGCCGTATTCTGGTCTTCTCAATCTTAGAAGTGTGTTTTTTCATCGCCATACAGCAACACATACGGGTACATACGGCAACTAAAACGCACCCTATTATCGTCCCCGACCGAGAATCGACCCCGGGGTCGCGCCATGGAAAGCGAGCACGCTGACCAAGGAGCTCAACCGCGAGGGCTATTGTGACACTAACGTACACAAATGTTCCAATTTAACAATTTTAAACGCTTAATTTCATCTACAATATTTCTACCCCGCCAGCAAACGCATGCGTTGCTCGGAACTGCACTCCAAAGTTTACTGCCCAAAGAATCCGATCGGGAAATCGACAAAACTGAGCTCTTGGGTGGCCCATACCTTACCATAAGAGGTGGAAGTACGCCTTGCGAAGAACGGAGTAGCAGTTTGCCTCCAGAGACCTCTTCGGTGTCGTCGCGTCGTGGAGACCCGGTGCGCCGTCGAACGGGCGATTCGTCGCAGAGCTCAACAGAACATATCTGTACTGGATTTTGAAAAACGTCATTGAATAAAATGTGGTCAATATTTTAATATAATTTATCTTGAAAGATTTTTATTCTTGCAATTTTCTTGGGATATCGGCGGTATCACAGTGTACGCTTCGTTTCTTTTTACATCGCCGCTCTTCTTTCCGCCTCTCCAATAGCATTTGTCTCCTTTATTCCATCCCACCACCTCGTATTGTTGCTTCTGTTTCTCCGTCACTGGGATTAATTGCATTCACACGAACTTGATTCAGGTTCTTGTGTGATCGGGAGGCGACGCCCTATGCACCTTTTTTATCATTACTTTTCGACTTTCTTTAGAACCAAAGAAGCGCTGAGCTGGAGCTTTAGCGCAGAAGGTCTAAATATGGCAATCGGAAAGTTGGAAACTCAGCTTAGGGCGAAGCGACTCCCAGTCAGTCAAAACTGCATTGATTCCGGGCGCGGAAGATTTCGTATGCAATGCCTCTTCTCCTGCAGTCTTTTAACCCTTTCCGCCTTTTCTAAATAGCATTTAAAAATAGCACTATCAAATTATGTATTTTTTACTGCGTGTTTTCGCATCATAAGAGAAATATATATTATTTTAGAACCGATTTTCTCGGCTCTATATTGTTCATATTGTCCCAGTCTGCGCCTTTCACGGAGTCGATCGGCAACCCGCGCGGCATTACAGATCTTCGGGTTGCTTACGGAGACGTCACCCGGCGGGCGCACACGATCAGACTATTTCCTTGAGCATCATAACATGAGCCCTTCCATTGCGATCTGCACTTATAGGTTGACATAGTATTACCTTCTGATTTGATGATCCCGCTATAATATTATTAATGAAAAAATTAATAGTGTTCCTCATCCCGACATAGGCGATAGAAAGTCATTTTAACCCGTCTTCGTATCGGACACGGCCACTTTTCTCATGGTTTCATCCTTCGAGGTGAATCTCCCATTTGCTAGTCATGCAGGACGATGGAACACGTTCTTTTGCGTTGAACGAAATTTGTTGGCAATCGACAAAGACTTGGCCTGGACAACTCCTTACGGTCACGCGAAAGTGTTTTTTCTTTGTTGCATTCACAGATTCGTCTGAACACCATCGCATGGTCTCGCTTTTAGCACTAATGCTAAAAATTGGACTTTTATCACACTACGCATGCCCTGAAAGAAACGCATTTAGTAGTGCCTGGCTAAAAAATACATTTTATGAGTGACTTGTTTCTTGCACTATCCCAATTTGTTTGGTTTGCCTTGTTTTTTTGCTTTAACCTATTGATCTTGGCAAGGAAACACAATCTCTGTCGAACAAAAAAATCATTGTAAGCACTTATTAAAATAATAATAATAAATAATTATAACAACATTTGTAAACAAAGTGGTATTGGTTCATGAATATGAGAAAGATTAATATTTTTAAATGAGAAAGGCTAATTATTTTCACGAAGTTTGATAGATTGTTCAATACTTCAAAATCACTTGATTGTTAGTGATTTCGAGCACGTCAATTACCAAGGTCATTATTCCCGTAAGTAGTGTATGTTTCTGCTAGGGAAGTGGCGGTGGTCTTCCTCGCTGTACGGCGAGATCGGCTAGGGGTTTTCCCCATCCAGGTAACTCCCACCAACGGGGTTCCACCCCCATCCGGGACAAGCTCTAAGCTCCCGACCGGACTTCAGGTATGTGTCGACGTGTAGTGCATGTGTGTGTGTAACGGGGTGAGAATAGGGTTAGAAAGAGGTGCGCGGTCCGTGACCCTTTTGTTAGAGTATTTCTTCAGCATTTGCCTGGTGTTGGTCGGAGAAACAAAAAAACTACCGATCAGGGCAGCTGGTCGCTAGAATTTTCCTTCAGGCAAGCTAGTGTCTAAAATCTTCTCACCACCGGGACTCGAACCTTCAGGCCAGAGACACAGCAGTGACATCAGTTTATACCCTGAGCCATCACTCCCGGTCAAAATCACTAGAAGGCTTGGTTCGTTGGCCACGCTTCGTGCCCCTGGCTTCAGGCGTCGAACGCGTTGTGACGGGTGTGTGTGTGTTGCTCAGGAACGCGAGCCTGCAGTTGCGCACCCCCGGGGCGGCGCCCGCGCAGTCGCTGGAGCTGCTCGTGGAGAACTGGGGGCGCGTCAACTTCGGCTCGCCCGACGACTTCCACCAGCGCAAGGGCCTCCTGGGCTCCGTGGAGCTGGACGGCGCCCCCGTTGCCGGCTGGGACCACCTGTCGCTGCAGTTCGACCCCGCCTTCCTCGCGGGGTGAGTTTTTAAATGGTAGCCCAAAGTAAAGAAATAGATTTACATTTCATCAAGATGATACACTGAACAGCCGAGATAGAGTGGCACACTTTGTCTTTGCCAAGTAAAAGGCTCCGCTCAGATTCAAGCCGTTCTTACGCAAAATGACAATTTTTAGGTGTCACTTGAGCACCGTCGATGTAGTAATCGGTTGATACATATCTAGTGACTTATTTCCGGCAACGGTTTATGCTCCCGTAGGCGCCGCGATCGTGAGTATTTCCAATATAATTTCAGCTGCTGCTGCTTTCCACTTACACAAAGTCGTTGTCCGTTCTTCTCACTCTTGATTGTCAAATAAAGTTCCGACTAAAAGAAAATATATTGATCCGAAGTAATCAACCGGCAAACTGTTACCTGCTCCGCGCTCGCGGGCAGCTTGTTCTGTATTCTTGAACCATCGATTAATTTCAAAATTCAAATCCAAAATTACACCACCACCATTCAGGATTTTTTTAAATCGCGATTTAAAAAAATGGATGGTGGCGGCGCAATTCTGGCTTTGGATTCAGCGCGTCGACATACGTAGAGAAACATGTGTCAAGTCTTTGGGTTGGACTTTTTTTTATTTTGTGTGCCTGTATTATTAATTATAACTAATACCATCGCCAAGCATCTTCTAGCATTTGAAGAGTGTTAATTTAAATAAGTATTCCACTTAAAATATCACGACTTAATCGCTATGCGACCATTTCTTTCAAACTCTCGCTAGTCTCCCCGCAAAACAAACTTGCCTCCATAGCAACCCATTATATTACTCAATTGTTCGTTCCCTTACGAGTTGATAAACTCCACTTCGTGGCATGGGTTAACCTGCTTGTGCCCGTCCGTCACTTGTAGTTTCATCTTTCGATGTACAGTTCGGAGGAAACCTTTCGGCCAAATGGTGGGTAACTGATAATTGTTTATTCGCATCCATCTAGAACATTCTAAGACAGGTTTTTGCACAGTGTTTTGCATTTTCGCTGACCTCTAGACCCACGTCCGAGCCACGCGAGTGCTAATGCGGAAAGGTCATTCTAGGAGTGGGGACTCCTAATGCGAATGCGCAATTCGACCGTAGCGCGTAAATGGAAAGAGCAATTGACAAGATGAGCCTGTGACATAGTTCTAGTAATATTACATTTTGGAAATGTTTGCTATCGATAGATAGGAATGTGAAATATTGACCTAAAACGAATTTGACATACACATTTCATTTGGACACTATGTATAACTATTTTTAGGGCTGATAAAGTAATTCGCTTTGCTGCGATGTCATTACAAATTCAGTGTGGTGTCAAAAGCAAAATTGTAATATTGAATTGTTTTGAAGCTGACAGTAATAAACTATTTTTTCATTAACTACATTTGTCGGTCACATGCGTCTTTAACCCGTTAACATGCAACCATACAGCACTTGTACCTACCTGTATGTTAAGAAATTTAACATCTTTAGCAACGTAAATAAACAACCATCGATTCATTCAACATGGCGATGTACAAAACAAATCAGAATAAAAGTAACACATATTAGTTGTTGGGATAATTATTGTTAATGGTAATATTAATAGCATAATTAAAAATGTGTAGTATGTATTCGACTATTAACCTCATTTTTCTGGTAATTCGCCAAATGAAACTCTTCTCCAGTAATCATGTTTACTGGCGATCTGAAGGTGTCGTCACTGGAAGTCGCCGCGCCAACTTCCGCACCGAACGTCATTTCTTTTGGCATCTTTAGCTATTAACTGAATAATACTGTTCGATCAAAGCAAAAAAAACTTATTCTTAAAAAAGTCATGATTATTTTCTGCTCCAGTTTCTTACAAGAGTACATTATATTTCTAATAACAAATCAACGAACACTTCATAATTGCTAACATGTAAAAAAGATTAACCCCTTTGCACTCTATTTAACAAGACCCGTATAAAAATCTCATGATTGCCCTGACATATAGTCAGAGGTCTGCTCGTTGGCATCTCGTTTTGCTTTTGATATCATTGGAAGGTTATAACAATCGCAGTAAAACATCTTTTGTTGAAAAATTGTAAAAATTGAAATTTTGTGTTAGAATTAAATAATTTATAAAAAGGCGACAGCGTATATACATACGTGTTTATACAGTAGCGCAGCTCCGTGTTAAATGCCCTATGACGTATTGGTCAGCGACTCTCGCGCTATCGGTTTCAAACTAGTAGAATGGAATATTATTCTAAGAATATTAAAGAACAGCAAAACCTCTTCATAAATTGCAATTTTCTTTTAAGAATTTGGACACGTTTTTAAGAAAATGGCGTTTAAGCGAACAGATCATTTTTTGAATATTTTTAAGAACTTCATTTGAAGCACATTAAATCCCAACTATAATAGTGTTTGCAAATTGCTGAAAATGTGCATATAAATGGTGCGAGAGATTTTAAAAATCAATACATTTTTGTAATTTTTGAAAGAAATAAACAACACAAAATGTACCCCAAAAATAAACTTTACGTCAAATTAGCACTTTTGCTTCGAAAGTGTGAAGAAAAAAACTGGAACCATTTATGATAAAATTGCTTTTGAGAGTTTCTGAAAACGCGGAATTTTCAACCAGTTTTCACAGAAGACGTTGAGTTTTCGAGAAACTGTGTTTGACATTATATAAAACACGAGTACTCATAAATGCAATAATGTTAACAAATTTCATTAATGTAAATATAAACGACGCTTAAAGTTTAAAAAATTATTTTTTTGTATTTTTTTTTAAGAGCAACATTGCGTTTATGTCATATCGAGTACATTTTGCACTATCCATACTATACATTTAAAGAAATAACTTGGACCCGTTTTTGATAAATCACGTTTTTGTTACTTTTGAAAATTCCACATATTACACGCAATATTTCGCGAAAACTGCTAAAATGTTCAAAAAAATGTAAATGACATTAATGAAAGAACTAACAGTGTTCCTCAGCCGCTGGACAAAGCGATTTAGCCCCGACCTCCCCTCGGCTTTGCCGGGACAACTCGCAAGCTCCCGAACGCATGGCAGGGTAAAGGGAGGGGGGTCAAGGATGAGAAAGGAAAGATTTGACGCCGTGCATTTCGTTAAGGTATTGCTCCGCCATTGATCGGAGAAACCGCTAGTATTCTCCAGGCAGCAGCTGAATCCCACCTAACTCAATGACTAATCCACCACCATCCAAACACGAACCCACGGCCCTCTGTCGGGGACACTGCAGTGGTAGAGACCTATGTAAACAAGGAGGTTGAAATCGCGTACAGTGACAAGTTTGTTCCGGAATTTGTGGTCTTTGCGGTGGAATGAATACGAAAATAATACTTTCCCAACAACAATCAGAATTTAATTGTACTGTGCTGCATTTCTTGCTCATTAGTTATCTTTCTCATTACTGCAAATTATCTTTCTCATTAGTTTTATTCCTACAACAAAAATCAAGTGCTGTATAGATGAAAAGTAAATAATTTATAATGAAATGGATGTCAGATAAACTTTGATGGCAGTTTTTACTGGTCAGCATTATGTATTTGTCATTGAGTCTCTGACAGATATTTATGCACCAAGGGTATAATTAGGGTTTGTAATGATTGGGTGGTGACAATAAGCTTGAAGACCTTTAGACTGTGATTATTAGAAACTGTTAACATCCATAACACATACGAGTTAATTTTTTTATATAATTTTAATGATTCAATTTTGTTGTTGTTTTGTTTGTTTGTAATTGAGTAATATTAACTTAATTCAGGCACTTTTCCAATTTCCCTCCCATAATTCTCTTGTTCAAAAATGTTAAAACTTTTCAGGTATGGTGATAGTTGTATTTTTAGTCAAGAGAATTTAAATTGTTATATTGTATTTCTTAGGTTATCAGAATGGCAACCTGTAGCACTGGATTCTCCAGATGGGGTTCTAGCTACCCCAACTCTCTTCAGAGTTGAAGTGTCCATTGATGAGCCAGTTGACACATGGATTGATGTCCGTGGATGGAGCAAGGGAATTGTTTTCGTCAATGGCTTTGCCTTGGGACGCTACTTGCATCTTGGTCCCTCCCACACTCTTTACTGGCCTGCACCTCTCCAACGCAAAGGACTTAATGAGGTAATTTATTAATAATTCATTCAATTAATTAATTCGTGTTCTTCTCCACAACAATCAATTCACTCAATTAATTCATGTTCTTCTCCACAACATACATTTCTTTTTCATATTATCTTGGAACTAAGTTCATCTCAAGTTTTCCTCAGAAACTTTAATAAATTAAGAAAATTTCAAATATTTAAAACCTTACTCTCAATCAACTTTTAGAACTATCCTCTATATTCTGAAGTTCTTTCCTATATCAGGCTAGATAAACCTTCTTACCTGTAATTTGTGTCCTGATATATAAGTACATCTTTTATACTTATTGGGAAGTTTCTGTGCATGTGCTTTTACTGTCATTCAACAAGGAAAAATAATTTAATATTACATGGCATCTATATTAAAATTCAGATAACTCATTGTGGTATTTGTCTACAGGTTCTAGTATTTGAGCTGTTCCAGATTCCTTCAGACACTACTCTACGATTTTCTGATGAACCAGATCTTGACTAGAGGAATCTACAGACCCTACAGACCTTTCATCCTGAGTCTTAGGGCACAATGAACAAACAATACACAATATTTAGAGAAACATTCCCATGATGATATGTTACATCAAATGCTCAAATCAAATTTGTAATAGTTGAGAGGGAAAGAAAATCATTGAAATTCCGATGTTCTTGTGAATGGAAATGATCAAATAAGTGCTTTGTTTCATGTGATATAATATGATTAACTTTTACAATAAATTCAATAAAAGAATGCGTTAAATATACATTACTTTCCTCCTTTACAGAATATGTTCTCAATTTCAGCTGAACTTGAATCCTTTTTTTTCTAGGTCAGCTTTGGCTTCTTTAATTTGCTGTGAACAGAAACAGGAAAAACTAAAGAAGTATAAACAAGTTTCATTTGGAAGATTACTCATAATTACAAACTATTTATTTTTCATAAATTATTTCATCCCTCAAATGGTAAAAATAAACAAAGAAATTGCATCATCCTCCCATTAATTAAAAATGACTTGCTTGGAAGGAACTAAGAAAAGAGATAAACAATTAAATTTCAATCAACGTAGAAAACGAGGTTTTTCCAACAATAAAGAAAATAGTTGGCTTCATGTTATCCTTTTCTTAATAAACAGACAAAAGTAAAAGTGAGGAGAAGGAAGGCAATTGTTAAAATTCACCCAAGTCCTATTATTCCAATAAATTAGTGGTGCTACAACAGCCCATATTTACTAACATTATTTGTAAAACCTGCAAAAATATTTCTCTGGGCTGGGAATAACTCAACTTACTTACATTTTGTAAGAAACAAACCAATGCACTAGACTAGCCCATTGATAACATTTGAATAATGCACCCAATGCATTAAAAAGATACTAATTTTTTGCAATTATCAAAATTTCAGTCTGTTATATATCATGATAGGTCCATAGCATTCGACTATCACCATGTATAATAAATTCAACTTCACATACCAAATAAACACAACACTAACTTTCACTTCAACAAGTCCAAACAGAGAAAAGCTACATTTATGTCCAGAAGCAAAACATGTTGCCATCTCAACATTTGCTCAATGTATAAGAGAAACTGGACAAAAACCTGATTGTGATAGGGTCATTTACTCAGAAGTTGAAGTTACATACATCACTTACTTACTTAGAAGACACGTGGGCCAGACACAGGCGCATATAGTGGTAAAGATATTCCCACTCTATGCAGCCATTCCCTATAATGACATTATAAATCTTTGATTTTTAGAATTTCAATATTTCCTTTAAATGCTCCGAAGTTTTATCATGCAATGTTAGTGAACATTATGCAAAGCCACACCAGACTACACTATAGCACCTCTATTCTTTCATCCTGTTGTTTTGTCCAAAATGGAGAATTGAAACCAGATGAAATACCCTGCATAGCAACAAAATTATACAACCTCAATTCTGATATCAACAAAAAAATCCATGGGCTTTTCTATGATAACATAAACATTCTACCTTTTTGGTCACCTATATCTTTGTAATTTGAAGGTTATATACAGTCTTAAAGGGACTTTTAATTATGAATGTATAAATGGGAAAAACAAATAAATGTAACACATGTCTGAAATAATTTACCATGGGAAGTATAGGAATTTATCCAGAACTTATGGAAAATAAATTAATAAATAAATTTGAAAAATGTATAAGTGCAAAACGTACAAACTTAATTTCACTGTATTTTTTATTTTTAAGATACAGTTTATATTATACTTTCTAAAAATCATGTTTACAATTAAATGTTTATATTTAAATTGATTTTTTATTTAAATTTGATTTATTAAATCACTGATTTTTTTTACTGTTGAAATTTAATAGAATTATTCAAAAATGTAACAAGGACACAGGGTGTCTGAAATCTTGATTAGATTGGCTTCAGGGTATTCTACATAATTGTGTTGTTTCTTATTATAACTACATTTCATGTTGAAAGAATACACTTGCTCGTATTTTTAAAACATAACTTATGTAATTAGTATGTGTAATCGATATTTGGCTGAACTTCTTGTTCATACTTTTTTTAAGCATCAGTAATGGTGGGTGAAAAGTATTGGACTGTTGCTGAACCAATAATAAGGGTGCATCGAATAACAGTTGCATTCACAACTGATACAGAAAATGTTTTTTCTACATTTGGATTTGTGTATTAAAAAATTAGGAAAAAGCTGCCAAACTTTTTTAACAACATTTAAACCCCAAGAATAACCTGTCAAAGTTTTCATTGTACTGATCTTTAAATCTAATTTATTAGAAATTCATTATTCTGAATATAATATTTCGTTACGTTATCCACATTATTCGGACCCAAATTCTTGAATAAGTTTTATAATAGCTCTTTAAATTAAGATAAAATTAATGCAAAGATTGAAGCATATGGCATCACAACTTTTTCTTTTGCTAAAAGAAATGTTATCAGATCACACAATTTTATTTGTGGTAAGAAAGAATTGCTACACTAATGTGTGTTCATAACCACAGATCGCTATGAGAGGGTCTCTATTAGCCCAGAGAGCAACGTGAAGTCAGTTGTCAGACCAACGCTGTGCAAGATGATTGTAACCTGATTAGAGCAGCATAGACGTTCTCTATGGGAGAAATGCCTGAGAACATCGCAGGGAAGCTGTTGGGAATAATGCCCTTCCATAGCAGGTCATTGTGAAATAGGCAGGAGAGATTCTGCGAGGACATATAGCAACCAGTGATCAGACTCGCACATGACAACCTGTGAGTGTGCAGACCAATGTGACATGCATGGTAATCGAGCCTTTAGAAAGAGTATGTAATACTTCTGGAATGTTGCGAACTTGCATATGCTATAAGACTTTGGAACATTAAATCGGAATTGTCATTTCAAATACCTTAATAAATATGAGAGACCCGCCTAGGGAGTACATGACCTTGTCGATGGTGGTGGAGCTTGAGTATCTCCATGACCCCAAGAGCTATGCCGGCGGTAGCGTAGCTACTGGTAGGGCCTACCTTGCCAGACAGATCGAAGGGTAGGGATATAAGAAGTACTCCAGAAGAGGACCTCAATGGCGGCTTCATTAAAGAAGAGGCAGAAGAGGAACTCTAGACGGGGCGAGAGACCTCGAAGCCATGAAGATGGCAATCTCTCTAGGACAAGAGAAGTCTGAAATAACCTCCCCCCTCCTCGGGACAGGTTGTGCGGAGAGGGCTAGTAACCCACCCACGTAAAAAAAATGATTTACTAGCAGAAAAATAATGGCCCAAATAATGGCCTTGGAATGAAAACTATGACGACTAAGGCAATGAAAATAGGAGTACGAAAACGGATATCAGAATATTTCAAAACAGCTACCTGGAATGTAAGAGGTATATCAGGGAAAGAAAATGAACAGGCAAAAATTTTTGAAAAGATGAATCTCAACCTAGCTGTAGTAACAGAAACAAAAAAGAAATTAAAAGGATAAAAATATGTAAAAAATTATGCCAAGTTTTATAGTGGAGTAGATCAGCAAGAGAGCTGCAAAAGGAGTGGCCATATTTGTAGACAGAAAGTGGGAATTGAGAATTAAGGAGGTTCAGTACGTAAATGACCAGGAAATTTTGATAAAATTAAAACATGAAAGAGGACCCCTTGTCATTATTGGAGTGTATGCCCTGGAGGAAGGAAAGAGGGAAGAAACAGAGGAATTCTACAGAGCATTCTTCAGGAACTGTTGGACAAATGCAATTCAAGATATGAAGTCCATCTTGTAGGCGATCTAAATGCAAGAGTAGAAAAGTAGAGTATACCAAAGACTGTAGGAAAGTGGGGAGAAAGTGTAAAAAATTACAATGGAGAAAAATTGAGGGAATTCGCAGCCTTCAATGAACTGTATATTGCAAATACATTTAAAAAGAAAAAAGACATTCATAAATATACATGGTCAGCACGAGGTAGCAGATCCATTATTGATTATATAATTGGAAATCTAAGAATATCAAAATTAATAGAAGATACAACAGTTAAAAGAAGCTGCGACAAACTCTGATCACTTTCTAGTAATATCCCGTATAAAATTATTAAAAAGATGGGTGAAAAATAATTCAAAATCCATAATGAATGATAAAGAAGAAATATACAAAGTATACCTCCTAGAAGACGAAAGCGTGAGAAACCTATATCAAAATAGAATAAATAAAAATCTTCAAAACCTTACTACAGCGGAGGAAATCGAAAAAGAATGGCAAAACATACAGCAAATAATAAAGGAATCCTCAGATGAAGCAGTAGGACGGAAAAAGAAGTTCCAAAAAAGAAAAGTTTGAAAATTTGGAATGATGATATTGAAAAAAGTGTTAAGCTTAAACAGGAGAGATACAAAAATACCTTGACAACCCTACTGAAAATCACAAGGAAGAATACAAAAAAGCTAGGAAGAAAGTAAAAACAATTATTAGAAAAGCTCACGACATGGGAAAGATTTATTGGAAGGATAGAACATGATATATACGGGAGACAAACATTAGCCTACAATGTAATGAAAATATTGAATAGTAATGAAAGAGAGAATGTACAAATTAATGCAATTGAAAAGGAAAGATGGGTGAAACATTATAAAGCATTATGGTACAATGACAAATGTGAAATAATAAAAATGTACACAACTACAAATGCAGATGACCTAACGATAGATGAACTACATGAAGCACTTAATAAATGTAAAAATCGAAAAGCACCTGGTATGAATGGCATAAACCCAGAACTACTAAAATACTCCGGAATGTTATTTCATCTACGCCTGCTTCATTTCTTTAATATGTGCTGGAGAAATAAACTCCTAAAGAATGGCAAAAAGCAAAAGTAATCTCACTTTATAAGAAAGGTAACCGAGCAGACCCAGACAATTACAGAGGAATGAGTCTATTGGATACAACATACAAGATTTATGCGAGAATAATAAATGAAAGATTAAAAATAATAGCAGACCACCTTATATCAGAAGAACAAATGGGATTTCAAAAAGGCAGATCGACTGCTGATGTCATTTTCACAATAAAAAGAATAATAGAAGAAAGACGTGAACACAACTGTGAAACACACCTAACATTCATGGATAGAGTAAAAGCTTTTGATAATGTCAATAGAAACCTTCTGTGGAACACAATGGAAAGAAGAGGGTACCCAAAACACTTGATACAGGTGATAAAAGAACTATATGAAACAATGAGTGTTAAGTTGGTTATAAAAGGAAAATTGACAGAAGAGATTCCCACCAACAAAGGTGTAAGACAGGGCTGTTACATATCACCAACGCTTTTCAATATATGCATTGACGACATGTTTAGAACATGGAAATTGAATATAGATCGAGGGATCTATTTTAGGAAAATATTTTTAAATTATATTTTACATGCACATGACAAAGTGATAATACAGGACACTGAAGACAAAATGCAAATGGCAGTATATAAATTAAATCAAATTGCAATAAAATATGGTTTTAAAATATCCAAAGAAAAAACTAAAACTATGGCATATAAAGGAAAATATCCAATGAGAACAAAGATTGCGATAGTAGGAAAGAGTATAGAACAGGTAAAATACTTCAAACATCTAAATTGTTACATCTCGTTTGAAAGAGATATAGATTTAGATAAAAAATTAAATATATTTAGAAATGTATGCGGCACAATACACAGACATCTAAAAAATAAAACTAGAATAGAAACAAGAACAAAATTCTTCAACACAGTAGCTGTGCCAGTGTTAATATATGGAGATGAAGCAAGAGTAACATCAAAAAAGATAACTCTAAAATCCAGGCAGCTGAAATGAAATTTCTAAGAAGCACTCTAGGTTATAATATCTTAGATAAAAAGAAAAGCACAGAGATAAGAAATAAACTGGGGGTCGAACCACTGCTGGAGAAACTGGAAAGAAATCAGAAAAGATGGTATGAACATCTCATACGAATGATCGACAGCATACCACCAGCACTTGCAGTGGACTACAGATGCTGAGGGAGAAGAGATGTAGGAAGGTCCAGAAGGAAGTGGACACCGGAACAGGTTCTTGAACCTAACCCTTCAAGTGCAGAAGAAGAAATATGAGAAACCCAATTTTGATATGTTCATTACTGATTTTGGTTTGATAATTTTCATCACTGAACTATTGCATCAGGAATTTTCTGCAAATGAAAATGTCTGAAGGGACACTCACCTCATTAAGTTCTTTTGCAGCTTCTTCACAATTGTTGAAGTTGTATACTCTCCACAGAACTACAGTAGCTGCATACACCTGTGATATGAATTAACAATTTGACCCCATTTCAATAAGATAAGACTGTACTAATATCTGATCGTTTGTAATACTCACACCAAATGCTAAAACTAGGAATAGGGGCAGTGGTAACACCACAGTTTTCCAATAGTTATCAACCTGCCACTGCAGATTCACGGCCAGCAGGGAGGCCCATACACTAGTAAACACGCCGAAACCCAAAAGCCACTCAAGTAGTTTCGTCATAATTTCATCTGTAATAGTACCCATCGAAGTTCTTGGTTATCCTTTGAACATATAACACAATTTAGCCTCAATTATGTTTAATATAGATGTCATTCCAAACCTGATTGGTTCACCGGAATGTTACAGGTGTCATCCAAATACCCTTCTGAAAGCGAAGCAATTGTCACCAATAAAACAAGAATACAGACCGATTTCTTCATTCACTGACACGCCGGCATTCACAAGTTTCACACGTCATCATAAAAACAATCTTCAACGACTTCCTGGCGTTCCTGACAACTCCACTAGCTTGCTCACATGCTCACGGCTCCCACGATAGTTTGTCCACGTTTTTTCTTTGATAGAAACACATAGCCTGGCCTGGCACGGAGTATTAAAAACAATTAAAATGAGATCATGGATGAATAGATGAGATGGTATTATGATAATATTAATATAGGTAAATAGATGAATATTCTGAAAGCTGGCTCCGAAGAAGCTAGTAGCCGACGTATCCTAAAATCGTGAAATTAATGTGTCACAGAATATTCGCAGGTTACGAGTTTTGACTATGGAACTGACACACGCAAAAGTCTGTGATTGACATAAACTAATTTAAAGGGGAAGAATCTCCAAAGACAGTCTCCATTGATAATGTATGAGCGACTTTTTATGACCGTTTATGACTTCCTACATTCTGCCTTTGGGCGATGATTGGAGTAAATGTAGGATGATTTGTGGTAGAAAGCCTGTCTCTTTCAAGTGATCCAACATTATTTCATAAATAAATAAATAAATATTCCTTGGCGTTTGGCTGTTGTTTAAAGGTCGAATTGAATTATGTAATCGATGTATATGAATCGACTTTGTGTTCTTTCGAATAGATTCAGCACCTCTCCAAAAGTAATTCTAAACATGGCTGCTAAGACCCATGTGGATAGCAGTGTGGGAGAAAGAAGGCTTCGTCCAATTTATGGTAATTGTTATTGCTCTATTATCAAATTTTGTCCGATGATAGTTTTATTGCGCGTTATTCGCTTATGGCATGTTAGCATATATTTTGTGGCTTTTCTTCAAGTACTCATTGCAGGTAGAGATAGCCCTATTACCTCAAATGTAAATATTATATTCACAGAATCACACTTCAGTTATTGCAATTTTAAAATATTTGACAATGTCCTCTAACCAGAATATTTATAAGTCTGACCTGTATGCTATTTTTAAGACTAGTTTGGCATATTTCTATATGATTCTTGCTGTACATTTTTATTTCAATTTCTTTATCATATTATTCATTATTCAGTGTTGTAATATCTTTTTGCAGAATGGTTGGATAATGGGAACAATAAGAAGGCTTTGCAAGAAGCAGAGAAGGTTTTGAAGAAACAACCAAATTTCCTTTGTGCCAAGGTGAGAGTTTGCCTGTGCACTTCAAGAGACTGTGCCTGAAGAGAACCTTGTGATTATAGATTATGTATGAATTTTGTGCATGAGAGACAGCATTGTTGTTATCAGATTATGTTACTCTGTGTCATATTACTCGTATGTTGTAATTATGTTCATTTATTATTTCAATTTTTACTTTTTTACGGTTTGAATTCAGACATCAGTGAGTAACGAAATCATGTGAAATGTTCACAATAATTTTAAAATATTGAATGCCATAACATTTTTCTAATGAGTGGAATTGTTTCATATGATTTTAGTAGTAAGTTAAAATTGGCAGAAAGAAATCTTGTATTTCATGTCATTAACTAAGCTTTCAGTTCTTGTTAAGTGGAAAAACGCAAGTGAATTGAAAGGGAATCCAAGTCTTGAATTGTATTGCTAATAATTCTCAAATAATGTAAAGAGAAAGATCAAAAAGTTGTGGGGGGGAATGATAATTATGTTCAGGGATTACTAATGACATTTGGGAGTTTTGTGCATTACATGCTATTGTTATATTAACCAAATTTCTTTAAACAAAAGCCTGGGTAATGATTTTTAAGAATTTTTTTGTCTTTTTCTGGTTGGTCGGAAGTTGGTGGCGACACGGTTCCTTTTACCATTCATGTCCACTGACCTGCCAAATGAGTTTTTAGATGAATATTCGCATAAAATGTGGTGGACAAACTCAAGGATATTTTCAGTTAATGTGAGGACTGAGTCTAGTCCTCAACTTGGACACATGTAGCAAAGAGTCGATTCTGCACGCATGATCTGCCAACTTCCGATTTATCTTTTGTTCTTCTACCTTTTATATGTGGTTGTATGAAATATTTAAATATAACTGGTTTTCTTGAATTTTAGTTTCTTTTGAGATTATAATGTGTGTTTCATTTGAATGTTTTTAGTAATTCATTTTAAAATCCATAAACATTGTATTTACTTTTATAAAATCAATTTCTTCTAATTAACTTGATTATTTATAACTACTATCAAACTGCATTTTTTAGTTAAAGTAACAATTACAATCCTGTACGTGCAAAACACTTGCTCAAATAGTCAGCGTTATTTAAATTTAAATTGTTTGTTTTAACCCATTTAATTGCTTCAACTTAAAAATCTTATTAATGCTCATATTCTTGTATCATTGTTGGTATGGATATGTCAGGAATTTTCATTATAAAACAAAAAATTGCTGATGAGAATTTAATAAAATATGAACTGTTATTTGCCCTGTAATCAAATTTTGAAATTAGTACTATACATAATATTGTTGACATGCTAATACCAATGCCATTGGGGGGTCTGTGTGTAACTTGATATAGTTATATTACTCAAGTTTCAGAAAACATGTTTCGGGATAACAATTTTTTAAGAAACATTTTTTCTTTTAGTTGATACTATGAAATATTTAAATATATTTTATGAACTTTGCTTCTCTTGAATTTTAGTTTTTCATAAATTATAACTTTTTTTTATTTGAATGTATTTAATAATTTATTTTAAAGTTCTAAAAGTTTCGTTTTAATATAATAAAGCAAATTATTTCTAATAAAATTTATTATTTATGACTGCAAACAATCTGCATTTTTAAATTTAACTTACAATCCTGAACAGGCAAAATACTGACTTGAGAACTGTTAATGTCATTTGAATGTGTTAGCTTTTGACTCGTAATGTAAAAATCTCAGTATTGCTCATTCACTTTTTAAATTTGTGGTTAGTGGAATTGTCAGAAATTTTTATTACGAGACAAAGTAAATTTGAATTTATTGTAGTGCATGTATATGTAATATACATTCATTATATATTACATACCATGCATGCATTGTGCATGAACTGTTATTTGCCCTATTGATCAAATCCTGAAATTACTGTGATGTGTAATATATTGATCCATAAATGGTTGATATGCAAGTGAAACTAAATTCAAAAACCTTGTTTGGAAAAAAGTCCACATCAATCTGTTAAATCTGTCCAATGTTGTTTACTAGATATAACCTGGGTTAGTTCATTAACATACAATTTAACGTGTAATATTGTTTTGGGACATTTAAAAGAGGAATAGACATCTCCTGAAAGTTTTCATTGTTTTGAGACTTAGTTAAAAAAGGAAAATTTGTTTATTTAGTAACTTCAAGACTCCAGTGATTTCCTAATCCAAAGAATGGGGGCGGGAAAACACTTGGCAATGTAAATAACTCAAAAACGGTAAAAACTTAACTTGGCGAGTTTACTTGTACATTACTTTGTAACTTACTTGAGTGTTACTTATAAAGATACATCAATATAAAGTTTTTGAAAATATACACCAAAGATATGTTTTCTTGACAAGGAAAATAGTAATTATGTATGACATTTCTGTAGTAGTTGTCTTGAGTACATTTACTTGGAATAGTTCAGGTATCATGCTAGAAGGAATTATTTATTCTCCATTCCTCTTCAGAAGAAAATTACTTGTTATAATAATAATAATAATAATTTTCACCATCAATTGAGCCTACTGGCCTGTTCCATCTTCAAGAGTGCCCTTCCATAGTTTTATTGGTCTTCCCCATACTCTTTTTTTCCCGTAAGGGTTGTTGGTGCTGAGAATTTTTGGTATTCGATTTTATGGCATTCTCAATCAAGTGATCATGGAAATTCTTAGTATGTCTATTTTTTCAGATGGCTTGAAGATCTTGAATTCATCTCTGATGTTGAAGGTTTTTTATGGTCTAGAATTGAATAGCCTACTAATGGTCTAAGAATCTCATCTCCTCTTCATCCCCCCCCCCTCCTTTTTCTTTTCTTTTTTTTTTTTTCTTTTCTTTTCTTTCTTCCTGCTCTACTGCATGTTGTCATTTGTACTACGATTCTATTATAAAATTTTACCTGAGTGTCTGTAAGAGATTTCTGGCTTTAGGAGTCTTTCATATAGATAAGCACGTTTCCAAATTTTTATATTAATATCATTTTTATGACGAAATATGACAACTAGAGAGCTGGAGTTGTTTACGTATTCAACACAGTTACTATTAATTTCTCTTCTACATTTTAGATAATTTTTATCTAAAATGACATGACTTTGAGTTTCTTAGCTGATGTTTGTTGATAATAGTTTCCTCCTTTTTTGCCTGAGAGGCAGCTATTTCTAGATTTCTTACCTTTGCAGGTGCTAAAAATTATCTGGTCATCCTCAAATAAAATTGTATTGAAAAATATGTTATTCACTTTAAAATGGTGTTATTACACCCCTGATTTTGGCCTTGATTTACAACTTCAGGTGTTCCATTGTTTCATTCCCATAAAATTTATTTCATTATGTCACATTCTAGTTTAATTGTGTTAGTACTTGGGCATTGGGTATTAAATATATTTGGAATGCTTACATTTATGGAAGAAAGAGAATTGATATGTTTTAGAAATAACCTTGACAATCCCCCATAATTTCTCAGGGTGAAATGTCAATTTTATCCCAGAAAGGTAGGCTGCCTGCAAGAAATTGAGAAAATTTATTAATCATAAATGGATTTGTACTGTAAAAGATTTTTATTTTAGTTACTTGTGAAATAGATCATTAATACTAAATATCAGCTATTGCATTAATAATTTGCTATAGAAAACTCCTTGGCTTTTATTCTGAGTAAATAATCAATAGAAAATAAAGAAAGCATGGTACAGTAATGTTAATGAAAATGGTATTGTAAATCTGATTTATTTAGTGAATGTGGTGTATGGGATTCTTTATGAAAATGAGTGAAAAAATCTGTAGGTCAGAGGTGCAGGACACTATGCCCATTTTCGGCAGAATTGAGATTATTGGCCCAAACATATAGATTTCTTGTCCCAAGATATACAACATTATATCCTACATCAAGACTTGGCAGAGGTTAATTGCTTTTAAATAACACAAAGGCCAAAGTAAAACATCTTCAAACTGCTCTCATGTTCCAATGGAATTTTTTGTGAAAAAAGCATCAAATAACTTATTTCATTTGGTGTTGGTAATTGTAATGGGTAGAATTGTTTCTTAAATTATTTAACATGAAATGTGTTGAACATGAGACTTTAACAAGGTAGAAAAGAAAATGTTTGGTTCTGCAGACATAAGTATAGTTTATAAAGTCTTGACATCAGGAGTATAGCACATTATGATCTACTGATTTGATTGATCATTTTTGTAATGTAGGTCAGAAAACAGGAACAAATAAAGATATGCATTCTGTAACGTGGTGGTTGTAATTGTATTAAAACATCAGTGTGTTTAGTAATGTTATTTGTTATGGATTTTGCAGCATTTAATAAACAATCTCAATGTCAAAAGTATACTGTTCAAATTAGAATATTATATTTAGTCATGAAAATTGTGTGTGTTTGTATACAGGGTGTCCGAGGAGGAAACGTCAAAACTTCGCAAATAAGCTCTTAAGACAATTGAAGTATATTTTGTGAAATAAACTACAGGGATATTCTGAATGGCTAAGCCGCTATAAGCACTAAAAAGCTAGTTTGAAAAATTACTTTCTAGACAAAAATTTGCAATCCAATCCAGAAGCGTAGAAACACTCCATACTCATGTAAATTGTTTATTATTTACAGAAGAAACTAATTTATTAGTTCAAAAAGAAAAATTTACCCAAAATAAACAAAGCATTAAAGCATTTACATGTTTCTGGGCGTTTCTATGCTTCTGCAATGGAAATTCTTGCCTAGCAAACATTTTTTCAAACCAACTTTTGAGTCCTTATTGTGGCTCATCCATTCAGAATATCCCAGTAGTTTATCAAACAAAATATGCTTAAAATTGTCTTAAGAGCTTATTTGCGAAGTTTCAATGTTTCCTCCCTGTCCTATATCATCCATGTGTGTGTGTGTGTGTGTGTGTATATATATATATACACACACACACACACACACACACACACACACACACACACACACACACACACACACGTTAGAAGAGATAACTTATTTTAAAAAAAGTAAATAACAACTGAAAGAAACTTTCTGCCCAATTATAAAACAAACTTAACCAATTAGAAAGAAGAAAACCAGACTTGTCTCCTGATTTTCAATAGATTTCTTAATTATTATTTGTTTTTGGAAAGTTTTTATTCTTCATTCATGATAAGAATAATGACAATCCAAGAATGATTCTGATGAATATCAATTCACTTCAAAGTCGAATTTCTTTCTCTAATTCACCATTCTATCTTATTTTAAAACTAGGATAATTCTGGAGAAAATGATATGTAAGTATAAAATATAATTTTTGGTAGTTATTTTTTAAATTGGAAAATGGTTTCCAAGTGTGATGTAAATGAAATTATTGTCTAATTTTTTTCATTCCTCATAGTGTGTTTCAGTATTTGAGATTTGAGCCCCGTGACCATGTGTGTTGCAGGTTCTAAAAGCACTGGCTCTCCTTCGTTTGGGCAAGGAGGAGGAATGTGATCACTTGCTGGAGGCAGTTCGTGCAGAGGTGCCTGCAGACGATTCCACTCTGCAGGCCATGACCATTTGTTATCGGGAAGTGCACAGGCGTAAGTGAGCACTTGAAATTTGAGGAGAAGTTCTTGTGAAGGGTAAAGACTACCATTGGAAGGCAAACCAATTTAACTCGGTTGGGTTTTTGTTGAGCTTCTCTTGATCCACAGAGCAAATGCTGAGATGGTTCCTTACTGTGCTTGTGGATATTTAACAAGTAGTGATTTTGTAACCTGTCTGTAGACATGGTTAAAATTAAATAAAAATCTATGGTCTCTCTGAATAATATTTTGATGCAAGACATAGTTAAATATTATATAAGTAAATAAGTGAAGTAGGTTTATCATTAATTCATAGTGTTTGCTAATCTTTTTCATGTCCTAAAAGCATAAACAAAGGACAGGACTTAAGTTGTTTTGAAAATTAACTTCCATGATGATTCAAATAAAAATAAAATACTAATTGTAAACATCAAATCTTCTTAAATGTTCATATAAAGATTCATTCATAATAATTTTTTCCTTCTCAATTATGAAGAAATCTGTTCAGCAACATGATTTTAAATAAGTACAAATGGAATGCAGAAACATCATAAAACCAATTAAAAAGGGCATTCTGTTTGACTATTTGATCTTTCCTTGTTCTTTTATTTTCCATCCCACAATGCTTGAATAAAGTCACCTGTACATATGCAATTTTTCTAAAATCCTGTTTGTATTCATTGAACTAGTAGTTCAATGTATAGATTGTAGACACTACACTTTATTATTGTGCAAGGATATAGTTGTGGTAATTGTTTTTAATATTTGTATATTAATTTGGTGGCTTAAGAAAATTGTGATAGTAATAGAGAGATATGACCTTTATTGTAATTTTAAATGACAGTGTTCAATCATGTGTACAGTTATATAATGTTCTAATTTTTTTTGTTGCTATTTTTGAATTCAGACTTTTGATGGTTATATTATGTGAGTGTTTTTATTGCAGCCGAGCGGATTTGTGCAATCTATGAAGCTGCAGTGCGTAAGGAACCTGGAAGCGAGGAGTTGTTGACACATCTCTTCATGGCATATGTCCGTGTTGCAGACTACAAGAAGCAACAAAAAACAGCACTTCAGTTGTACAAATTAAAACCAAAAAATCCATATTATTTTTGGGCAGTGATGAGTGTTGTAATGCAGGTAAGACTCAGAAGAAGTTCATCTTAAATGAAAGTGGCCTTTAAATTTATTAATTGGATAGTGTTCAAGGATTCTGCAGTAGGTTTTATTCATGTTGTGCAGCTAAACTACAGTAGAACCCCTCTTTTACACTTTTTCACAAGGGATGAAGAAAATGGTGTAAACCACTGGAACATGTAAACCGAGGGAAAATTCTTTTGTGCATGTACTAAAATACTGAAAATTTACAATCCACTATTATTATTATTATTAGAATTAATAATCAGTGTTTTTTGTACTTACATTTTCAACTGAAAAATCTAAGAATTCCAAAATTGTTTTTAAAGTCCAATATTGATGTCTATTTTGCCTGGTGAATTCTTCCACTTTGGTTGTTAAATTCATATGCATTGTCAAAACGATAAGTCACCATCTGCTGAAGAATATTTTTTGTGTTTATTCCACAAACTACTACTGCACAAGAAGGCACTGTACCATCACCATCATTATCATCAAAATCATTATTGCTTCTTTCACTGCCATTTTCAGCCTGAACTGAATTAATCTTACTTTCTACAGATACTGTTTGCACAATCAGTTCATCATCAAAATGGGAGACTTGAACTTCGTAATCCATTTTCAGCTTCTCCCATGCAGAAATAAGATCACTGTTGTCTCCTTTTCATTCTTCTTCTTCTTCTTCTTCTGCTTCTTCTTCTTCTGCTTCTTCTGCTTCGTCTTCTTCTTCTTGTTCTGCTGCTTCTTCCTCTTCTGCACTTATTTCCTCCTTGTGTGTTTTGGAAGAAGGCAGCTTTTCTAAGGATGTTGTGGATTGATTAACATCTTTCCATGCCTTTGCAATAAAATGCAGTGATAGTGATTTTAAATGTCATTGTGTCCTTCTCTCACTCTATCAATCTTAATAATCTCTGCCCAATATTTTTTCTGTAGTAGGGTCATGAATGCATGGCATATTCCTAAATCTATTGGCTGTAGCTTTCCCATGAGTTTGCTGGCAAGAATTCAATTCTAATATTTTTCAAGTTCATTTGACAAGATAATTAGGATGAACAGGATTTGATTCGGATGACCATAGCAGTAAGCTTAAGTTTACCGTTTTTGCCTCCATGACAATTCTCGTCTTTAAAAGTGAAAGTTTGGTTCAGAAGAAAACAAAAAAATGACTGGTTTCATCTATGTTGAAGATGTCCTTGGGTGAATACTACTTCATGAGGTCCATAAGTTTCCTCTCTTGCCATTCCCGAGCACTTTTTTCTGGTGCTGCATTTCTTTCTCTTTATACAGCCTTATAAACAATATCATGATGCTTCTTCAATTGATCAAGCCAGCCATTAAACTCATAGTTCTCAATGTAAAGCTTATCCACTACGTTCAGAACTTTTTCATGTACCAACCATAGAGCACAGATATCCCTCTATGGTAATATGCTACTCACAGGGATGTTCGAAGCACGTGCCCCCTGGAACCAGTTCTTCAGAATTCCATCCAATTCAATATACTTTTAAAAACAGGCATACTTCCTCTTCTTGCAAAAATGTCCACTTTCATTTACACTTTTAATTATTGAGTCTTTGTTTCTTACTATCATGTTAAGAATGGAAAGTGATATCCGCAACATTTTAGCTAAGCAACACATGTTCCTTTATGGAATTTTATTTCTTCTAGAATTTTGGATTTTTCTTGATTAGAAAGATTCATTCTCTTTCTTTTTAAATTTATTAAGGGCAAAATTAATACTTTGTTAAAATTAAAAATTTGGTAGGCTACAGGTTTAACACAATTTAATATTTGGATGTCTGTTTTTTTGTCAAATGTTTAGAATATAATATTTATTGACTGAACTGATGGTTGACATACCAATGTGTTGATACTTTGCAGTAAATTTATGCATTGAAAAGTGGGTGGGTCTTGGCCCCCTCTTCTTTCTACCACTCCTTTCTGATATGAGCCATCTTTTCCTGATTCTTAATTTTCATTCTATCCACAACGTCATCCTTCCATTCTGATTTTGGTCTTCCTGTACACCGCATAGCTATCGGTTTCCGTTCTGTTATTCTCTTAGTGATTCTATCTGGATCCATCCTTTCTTGATGTCTGACCCATACTATTCTCCTAGATTGTATTTCTCAAACAATATTTTTTTGTCCAATGAGTACTTTCAATTCATCATTTGTTTTCAATCTCCAGATATTCTTACCAAGTCTCGTAGAGCTGTAGATTTTTTCCAGTGTACTTAATTTTTGTTGCTTCAGCACCCATATTTCGCACCCATAAATACCTATCGGCTTTATGACTGTATTGTGTAGTTTCAATTTTAAATATTTTGATAGGAATTTACTCTCAAAGAGAGTTTTAAAATGCCTTATTTCCAGCCACAATTCATTCTTTTATTTCTTCTTCCATTGTATTATTAATATTAGCTAATATTATGCCAAGGTATTTAAATGAGTGCAAATTTTCAATATCCAAGTTATCCAGAATATGTTTTGATTTCTCAAACTTTTTGCAGGAGCATTTCATGTACTTTATTTTAGAGGCATTTATAATTAAGCCTGTTTTCTCAGAATCATCTTTCAGCTGATGGAATGTTGAGACCAATGCCTGCATCAATCTCGTCAAAATTAATACATCGTCAGTATGCACACATCTGCTTCATTCTAATAGAAATATTACTCCAAACATCTAATTTCTTCAGTATTCCATCTATTACGATGCTAAAAAGGAGTCAACAGGGTGATCTCCTTGCCTTACACTTGAATTGATTTCAAAAGTTTGTGAGTAGTCATTGTTTATGCGTACCTTGGCCAAGGTGTTATTTAATGTTAATTTAACTAATCTGATAATTTTGGTTAGTACTCCCAGCGCAATAAGGCTGTTATATATTGTAGATATCTTAACTCTGTCAAAAGCTTGTTTGAAGACAATAAATACATTGTGTATGTCAATATTATACTTGTAACACTTTCCATAGATCTGTTTAACTATATTGTTATAATCTATTGTTGAGCGATTGGGGCAAAAGCCCATTTGAAAATCCCCTTGTTTGGGTTCTATTATTTCTCTTAATCTGTTACACATCATTCTACTATATACATCATACTCTTCACCTCAAGCTGTATGAAGATGTATCATTCTATTCTCAACCAGTAATATTTTTTCTTCTTAAGGTTATATTTTTCCAAATGTGCTCTAGTTCTTATATTTAGAGTTTTTTGTCTTGCTTTTTTCTTATCCTGAGCTGATTTTGTACATTCTCCATGCCACCATTCATTTCTGCATCTTCCTTTCTCTCTTCCGAAGGCCTCATTGGCTGCCTCTACTATGCTAGTTTTTATATTTTCCCATTCTCTTTTCTATTTTCTCTTCTTTATGTATCTGTACTAGTTTCTGATTTAATGCATTCTAATATTTTTTTATATTTATTGTGTGCTGTAAGTTCTTTTTATTCCATCTGCATACATTAGATTTAGGAAATGTTTGTTTCATAATTGTTTTAAGAAGAAAGTGATCTGTGCCACAATTCAGTCCTCTCATTGAGCAGACATCTTGTATCAGCCTTGAATGTCCTCGATTTGTCCACTATATGATCAATTTGGTTAACTGTGGCTTGCTCAGGATACATCCATGTGCCTTTATGTACTGATTTATATTGAAATTAAGTACTTGTCACAATTAGATTGTTAGTTATTGCAAAACTGGCCAAATAATCACCATTATTGAGTATGGTGTATTGTCCTAATACTTGTATCTTTCCTCAAGCCCTAGTTGCGCATTAAAATCTCCAAGGACAATTATAATATCATTTTATTGAGTTTTGTGGAAAATATCTTGCAACTCTTCAAAAATGTTTCTTTGACTTCTTCCTTGTCTTCCATGGGTTCATTAACGTTTATAAGATTCTGATTTTAAAATTTCCCTTTAATTCGCAGTTTACATAAATTTTCATTACAAGCTTCAAAATCTAGTATTGTTTCTCAATTTCTTTCATTAACATAAATCCAGTTTTTTTTGGCCAATCTTTTCTTTAATGCAGGTACAGTATATACAATATTTCTCTTCCTTTATTCTGCCCATTCCTTGCTATCTAATTTGTTATAATGTTGTAACTCTCGTCTTCGTTAGCATTCTTCCTGGCTGCAACCTTGTGGTGACATTCCATGATCCAGTGTTCAGCAATTCTTTTGTCCTTTTAACATGCCTTATTCTTTTTATAGTGGAGCTGGCGTCTATCCTTTGAGCTTTGTAAGTAGTTATGGTTTCCCAGAAATAGTGCTGGCATAGATCTAACTCCCGTAAACTTGGAGGAAATGTGTTTTTTTGTCATGGTTGTACCTCTGAGGACTGGCTTCACTGCGTCTACAGAGCCCCTCCTGCCCCTTGGTTTTTTGTTGATTTCCTTCCCCTAGCCCAGTGCTCCCATTTATGTGACAGCAACTCGCCTTCACTCTTCCCTCTTTCACTACTTGCTGGACTCTCCACTCCAGAAAGCATTGCCCAGGGGTCACCACGGAGAGGAGGAGAGAGAAGTCTTGCCGGACATACCCTGTTCTTACTTGCTCTTCTGTTGGAATACCCCATTACAGGGTGGCATTTCCTGGCATTTAATGGTGTGAGCCTATGGGCATCGACCCACCCCACCAGGACGCTTGTCAACCCTGGTCAGAAATGAAATTGTTTGTATAAATTAGCATACACTTTTGCATATCTTCCATTACATTCTAGAGAAAAATGTGATATCATGGTTGTTTTGCCCCCCC